CCTCCACATCTTGGGTTGAATGAACCAACATGATTTTCATGCTGTTGAGTTTTATCCATGGTGCCTCCTACCTCTCTGTTCAGAGATCATCCCTTCTGGGCAGGGAACACAATCATAGCAGCAAAATGGTTCTCTTTCCTTCTTTTGCTTGCTGTAACCTGGGTGGCAACCTTCATTGCACACAGAACGGGGCAATGTCTGTCCATAAATATACAGATAATTTATAATCAAAAATGGCATTGCAGTTGGCTAATCTACAAGTAGTTGCCTTTGCCTTGGCGTTATAATGCTAAAAACCTCATGCATCTTATAGAGGGCACAGAGAATTTTCTTTTCTGAGTATTGTTCCAAATTGAGTTTCTGCTGAATTACTGACAAATGAAGCATAGATGGTAAACATAATATTGCTTAATCTTCATGCTCAAGCATGTAAGTACTTAGATGAAAAAGGAATGTTCTCCCCATTGAGGCCCATCTGCTGCCTGTTACGATTCATATGACTGTAGGATAACACAGGTACATCTGTTTTAACTGGGCAACAGGAAGGAAGATGGCATTTTTACATTTTACATTTACACTTTACATTTTGAATGACAGGGAAGGAAGAAATAGAATCAATGCACCCATACCACTCTGTCTAAGTGTTTCTGGTGTTCACCTCTGGATGTACATGGCTCTCTAGTCATGCACAAACCTAATATTGGTAAAGCTTACAACAGGCCTCTAATGTCTGTTTTAGAAATGATTGAATAAAAATCTCCTTGATGGGAATATTGAATGTGTACTGCAAATCCTGAGTGGCCCAGGAAATTAATTTCTGAACTAGAGGGAAGCCAATCAGTAAAGGACCAAGGGGTCATGTCTTCAGTAAATCCTTGGTCAAGCCTCAATATGCTTTCTGGCAAGTGCAGCACCTAGAACTATTGCTCTCCAAAAAAGGTAGGAGAGATGTTTCTATACTCTAAGTCAATCAAGCCAGCAACTGGCTTTATTCATTCCCCAAAATATCTGTGTTTTCTAGAAACTATAGGGCTTTTCTGCACTAGGTTTTTTTTCTGCACTTCAGTTTCTTAACTGCATTAGCTCCCCCCCAACACACACCATTGTTTGCATGTTACCCCATTTTTTCTATGCTTTTTTCCCGCCGTTTGCAATGGACTGGGGGAAAAAATCTAATATAATAATTTTCTGTGGTACTCCAGTTATGTGCCTGGTTAAGCTTTGGGGTGGTTTTTCTGATAATTTTATTTGATGTGTTGTTTCATTTGATGTGAAACACCATGAAAAGTTTCAGGCTGAGATGCTGCAGAATCCCCACCCCCCAACTAAAACAGAAGGGATTTTCATGAAAAGATAGGAAGAACATTTGGGGGTTTAAAAGCTCAGAACATAGGGATGGCATGCAGTGCCTGACAACTGGTGGTAGGGTTGTGCATAGGCAGTGTCCCAGAAGAAACATTAAAAAGAAAAATAAGGCATCTTCTACTTACAGGAAGTTCTTATCATGGAATTCCTGGTGACTCCTAGAGCTACTCATAAGTGACAAAGGGTAGATCTAGGAATTGCCAGAAACTTTATGGTAAAACTGGAAATTATTATAGATTTTCTGGTGATTCCTACAAGTACCCTTTTTCAATTTTGGGTAACTCTAGGAATTACCAAGAACTCTATGGGAATACCTTCCTGTAGGCAGACAAGACCTTGTTTTCCTTTTCCTTTTTCTTCTTCCACTACTTCCAGCAGTGGTGGGCAATGCGATCTTGAGGTGCAGAATCCCCTGCCTCCCCGGGGGGGTTTCACAGTTTTATCAGCTCTAATTGTAATAGTTCAGACCCTAAGGGAAGGTAGATCTCTAAATGGAATTTTCCAAGTTATATTATAGAGTGAAGCTGTGTCATATTTTAATGGGATTTTAGAAAGATTCTCCAGGTTCCCCAGAGAACTCATCCCACACTCTTCAGAAGGAACTCAGTGTGTTTATTTACATGTTATACAACTTGGGCCTAGGAGCTCTAGTTACAGTCACTACAGCGGCTTTCTTGCAACATCTACTCCTGGTTCTGCTTCCAAATCTTCACCAGGAGGCAGATAGACTCTCCTCCAAACATTATTTTAGTAACTGTCTTGTAGTATTTACGATGTCTCACCTGATTAAAGTTTCTATGCCACACAATTTGATCATCATTAACAATTAACTCTTGGCCCTGAGGAGCTTGAGGATCCAGTCTTCCAACTTTTACTCTAATAAAAGAGCCATTTGAGAATGTTACCCAGTTTGTCACATCAAATCCTTCCACTAATTCTCCATCTTCATTAAAATGCACAGTGTCTCCAGCACTGTTGGTGAAACAAATACCTCTCAGGAAATGATGGAGCTAGGTTGTAATAGAAAATGAAATAAATGAACAATTTGGAGTTTAAAATTTTCTAGTAGCATACATAATGTCTTGGTTTACCTATGTCTGAATTGCCTTGCATTGGGGCACCTTCCTCTTTGCTTTGCCTTGCGAGCATGCATGTTTGTGTGTGTGTGTGTGTGTGTGTGTGTGTGTGGGTGTGTGAGAGAGAGAGAGAGAGAGAGAGAGAGAGAGAGAGAGAGAGAGAGAGAGAGAGGTGGTCATGATCATTTATTTAGCTCTAAATGCATGACAAGTGTGAATGTTTATTTAAATCAACATTTTATGTCTGGCTCTGTTAATTCAAATGCAATTCTCTTGTCGAGCAAATGCAATGGTTCATGAGAAATTGTTGACTGAAGATATAACTGATCACATTCTTAGGGCCCAAATGTTGATCTGTGAGCTGGGGGAGGGAATTTAGGTGAACACTCTTATAATATTTGCAATGCCACATCCCGTGCAAGTGGCATATCATGATCTGTAAGACTAGGACAGAGTTATGCTCTTATACCCAACAATATTCTTCGGCTTTCGAGCAAGGGAGACCTTTACCTTTACCTTTAAGACTAGGACAGAGTTATACTCTTATATCCAACATTATTCTTCATTCACTTAAGAACACTTTAATTATAAATCAAACAGCAAAGTCTGGTCATAGTGTATCTGGCCCGCAACTTCCATTACTGTAGATAAGTCTAGCTATTCACATTAATTTTCCATATGTTATGTACATGAATGAACATAAAACATTATTGGTTTACACATTCTTGAATGACCCACATTTGTTTCAATGAATAAATTAGTGTGCAGAGACAATTTCAGCATTTTTTGAGAATGTTTATGATTAATACATAAGAACATAAGAGAAGCCATGCTGGATCAGGCCAATGGCCCATTTGGTCCAGCACTCTGTGTCACACAGTGGCCCAAAAGAAGGTGCCATCAGGAGGTTCACCAGAGAAGCCAGAACTCCAAAAGCCCTTCCTCTGTTGCCCTCCAGGTACCAAGAATACAGAGCATCACTGACTCAGACTTAGTGTTCCATCTCTACCTTGTGGCTAAAGGTCACTGATGGACTTCTGCTCCATATGTTTATCTAATCCCATCTTGACGCTGTCTATTCTTGTAGCCACCACCACCCCATGAGTTAATTACTCTTTGGATGAAGAACTACTTCCTTTTATCTGTTCTAAACCTACTGCTCAATAATTTCATTGAGTTTCCATGAGTTCTTGTATTGTGAGAAAGGGAGAAAAATACTTCTTTCTCTTAATTTTGTAAATCTTTATCATGTTACTCCTCAGTCATCATTTCTCCAAGATAAAGAGCCCAAGCCTCTTTAATTTTTTTTTTCATAGGGAAGGTTTTCCATCTCCTTAGTCAATTGCCTTTAATTGCCCTTTTCTGCACATTTTCAAATGCTAGAATCTCATTTTTGAGGTGTGGAGACAAGAACTGTACAGAGTGCTCCAAATGAGGCTGCACCACTGATTTATAAGAGGGCGTTATGATACTGGCTGATTTGTTTTCAGTTCCCTGCCTAATAATCCCCAGCATATCATTGGCCTTCTTTATTGCAGTCACACACTGTCTCGACCAGGGGTCTTGTTGTAGAAAATCCCGGTTTGGTAACTGTTGAACAAGGGGTCATGTCCTGGTTCTCTTAATGGGCAGATTTCTATCCAACTATGGGCAGCCACCTTTTTTAAAAAAACGAAGTTGTGTTTAAACATGTAATTACCTGCCATGGCTCCACAGGGTGAATTGCCTCCCTCCCTCCCTCTACTAATTTTCTGTGTTTGAATCTGAACGTGTACATGAACTGCAAAGCATGTGCTACGGCATAGGCAGCATTGTAGACATTATAGCTGTGACCAGTCATGCTCATTTCAAACCAAGTCCCAGGAAGGCTCTCCAGCTTTTCTTCCCCGGTGCAGATTCTCCCACTGTCACTCTTCTTGGAATCATTCAGGGAACAAACAAACACTTGCTCCCAGAAATCCTGGATAAAGCCATCCTGTCTTTGCCAGAAAGGTTTTACTGTCTGAAGGAAAGTTTGAAATCCTGGTGGCTGACTGGAATGAACAGCAAATGATATGGCACCATGTAAAACATTTATAATGGACATCGTTTCAGGATTCAATGAATCAAAATCCCATTGAGATGTAACAATCCAGACTTTACCCAGCAGTGATGTAGACAGTATTGTTCTCATTAGATTCAGGGTTGGAGGCTCTCCAAGAACAAAATATACATTGGCTTTACTCTCCATAAGCGAGTCTACCTTCTCCTGCAAGCTAATAAGTGGTTCTAATAATTCCTCCATAAACATCGCCTTTGGTGTTCTAAGTATGAAGGAATAACAAATCTTATTCTGAGAAAGCAAAGGTACCACTGCTTGCAAAAACCTGTCCCCATAGTCATCATCCATAGCCATAAGCCCAATCCACGTCCATCTGAAATGTTGAAATAAACGTACAACTCCCAAGTACTGATAGGCTTCATTTGGGACCATCTGGTATAAGGAAGGGAATTGCATTTTGTTATCTTGCACTGTTGAAAATGATCCATAAGTGAGCTGAAAGAAGATGTACAAGTGTTTGTTTGTTTTCACTAAAGTACAAAAAAATAATATCACATGTCACCAATATGACATTTCCATACCCAGTTGAATTTGACCTACCTGTGGAATCTTGTAGATACTTAAAATATGGGCCATGTTGACAGAGGTTGCAGAGACAAGCCCTCCAATGACTGCCAGCAGATTTTTTAGAGAATCACACTTGAAGTTGGGGAAAAAATCATGCTGTGTTGAAAGCAGGTTCAGTGTGGCTTTGTAAGTCATCTTTGCAAGATAGTAGCTGTTGAGGATATGGAAACCCAACGTGATATTTTGTAATATGCTTGGATTCTTGTTGATCTGCTTGACAGCGAAAGTCAGGGTCAAGAGGTCTTGGTAATGTTTGGGTGCTGAACTGCAATAAGAATTGCAGGTTGTGGAACCAAACAACAGCATGTGCACTTGCACAGTTCATTGTAATAGGTAACAAGTCTTCTCACACAGCAATTTCTACCCTTGGTGGGGGGGTTTGCCTGTGCTTTCATCATAGCTCTGTGTGGTATTTTTTAACAGACAATTGCTTTTTTATATAGTAAAGAGAGAGAGAGAGAGACTATTCCCAGTTTATCAAAGCAATCAAGCAATCCAAGAAATACAAAACTATAAAATATGTCAGTGAATCACCATATATGTTCATCACTTGTGCAGTCTGCTATCTCATTGTTCTGAATATATGGATGGATTTTGGTTGCATCCACTGCAAATGATGCTCTTCAAAAGGAAGGGGGTTTCAAATTTTATGAACCAACCAGGCATTTACAAAAGATATATACTGAGTGGATGATTATCTGAGACTTCCACGTATCTATAGAGGAGGCAATGCATGGCATTTGCCATTCATCCTAAAACACAGGGTACAACCACTCATACAAGTTCTGAAAATAGTTTCTAAATTTTACAGCCACAGCCATTGTCTAAAGGCACAGAGTATGAGTGGGACAAAATGTTGAAGGAACAGATGTGCTGCATCAACAACTAAGATAGTGCAGTCCTTTTATGAAAGCTGCACAGACATGCAGTTTGTGTTAGACAGTTTAGAGGAGAGGATGTAGCTCAGTGGTATAGCACAGGACTTAGCATGCAAAAGAGTTCAAGGTTCAGTTCCTGGCATCCCCCATTTAAGAATGTCAGGTTCTGAGACAGAATCTTTCTGTAACTGAGATACTGGAAGGCCACTGCCAGTTAGAGTAGACGCTGCTGAGCTAAATGGACTAGTGGCCGAACATAGCATTAAGCAAATTCACATGTTTAGCTTTCTGGTGGATTATGACAACAATATAATAAGAAATGCAGAGCAAACCGAAGGTGGCCATGCCGAAATCCCATCTGGAATGAAAGTCCTCATGCTCTAAAATGAATTAATCAAGACTGAACTTAATGATTTGCTCCCCACTGCTATTTCCAGGACACGTTGTAGAACAAACAAGGTAATTTCTTACATTTTTTCTACTTTCAGCATCTGCTTAGGCTGATCTTGGAAAGTGGGAGTTTCATGGAAGAAGTGGATGTGAGCAGCAATCTGACCAATAACAAAGTCACCTGGCTGGAAAAATCCGTGAAGAATAGGAAGAAGATCTTCATGTACGCTGCACTTCTGAGAACGTGCCTTATGTGCAGTGTGGTATGGCAAAAGAAGTACCAACAACACTACCAGTGCCATCCTGATGAGAAAAAAATGTCTCCAGATGCAGATCTCTGTCTTCCCATTTGCATCATTATCTGGCTTTCATCGGTTTTGTTACCGCCTTCCTTGAAGGACAGTTAACCCAGCTGCTGAACTGAGGAAAAGCTTGGCATCTCTATATTAGTGCAGTTGCTTTTATAGTCAATAACAGATTTGTTGGTTACTCTTTCTCCTTCAGGTCCACTTAAAAATATGTTTCTTCTCTTACCATACCTCAGGATAAATGGGATGCGTGTTTTGAGTCCTATGTAAGTTTCTAAGAGGAAATGAATGAATGAATAAATAAATGTGCATCTAGAGGTATTGATAACTTTATGCGGGTTTGCAAAGGAAAGAAGTGAGAATCCTCATTCAGATATTGACAAGAAAGAAATCCATTAATAGTGGAACTGTAAAAATCACATCTTCTATGAAGTGACGGGGAATTTTTGCACCAGCGTGATAATGGGTTAAACAAAGTCTCAATGAATACTACTTACAAAGTCTCAATGAATTCTACTTAAACTATTGACTTGATTTTTAACAGCAGGTGGCTGGCATCTCACTAGCCACCAGCTTTTGGTCAGCTCCACCTTGTCTCCAAATTTGGTGAGCATTACCAATGGCTTTTTCTATCTTAGCCTGCAGCATGAAACAGTGCTAAGACATATTAAACCTCCTCCTCCCCCCCCCCTAGCATTCCAGTCAAGCAAACAAGGAAATGATGGGCTGTTTTAGAAATAGTGCTTCATCATTGGACACTTTAGGGTGCTCTGCGATTAGCTGTATCTCTATTCTTAGTAACCCACACTATTCCTGTTATCCCTTGTTATGGTCTAACTAATCCCAAGATGAGTCTATTCATTAAACTACACCGAAGAAACAGCATTAAATAGGCCAAGCTAGATTCCCTGTCAGATCTATTAGGGGATCACAAAGGTTCCTCCTTGATTCTTTCTCTAAATGGGAGGTTGGGTGAGTCAGCAGGATGAGGCAGTCAGTTGCATGGATGGGGTGGAACCCACTTATGACTTTGAAGACCTCTTTGGCTGGGAACTAGCCCAGCTAAGCTAATGATTCTTCTTGCTACATTTTAGTTCAAAGGACTAGCACAATGACATCCATGGCTGAAGCAGAGCTAAGGATGCATTAGTCCAAGAGAACACTGCATTAATACAGTGCACATGTATTTGTGTATGTTAGTGGGGAGGGGGTCAATACCTCTATGATGTGCAGTCCATCACTCAAAGAAGCCTAGACATGAAGGGCTAATCTAGAAAAGCAAAGAGTTTCAGTGCAGAGCTATTCTTGGATATGAATTGTGATTGTGAAATGATGGAAGATATAGCTTGAGGAAAAAGACTGACAAAGCTCTGTGTATCTCTGGACCCACTCCTGAAAAACATGTGGAGTTTTTATAGCATATGTCAGATGCAGATATTGTTGGTTGCCTTTGCACGTCCTAGAAATCAAATGGTAGCAAGAAAGAAACCAGTAATTTGACAATGATGGGGGGGAGAGATAATCAAGTCCTCAGTGAGTTATCTTTCCTGGGTTGTGATGTCATATGTAAAAGGAAAAAAAATGCCTCTGAGTGTTCCATAATTTATTATTTCTCCTTTGATGGCTACCATGTTGAATGTTGCAAAGGCCTGTCCAAGGAGGGCCCTACTATCTACTTGGGTCAGTTAACATGATACATACATTTGAGAGTAATAGGCTTTGCATTACGTCACGGCTTACATTAGTGGCTTACATCATGTCTGTTTTAGTTCTAGATATATACTTTCCAGGGGTTTGTGAGGTTATTTAAAGATAACTCCATGTACGGAGTTTCACAGTAGAAGGGTGCTCTCTGTGGGTGATAGATATATTGAGAGGCACATAACTGCATTTCAAGATGTACATTTAGTTGTTTTGTTGAATATGAGTTGTTTCAAGATAAATATGACTGATCACTACTATGCTTGGCTCCTGCCCAGCAGCATAGGCATCAACTATTGGGGGGCCTCGGGGGCTGCCCCCCACATTTTCCAGGGAGGACTGATCCTCCCCTGGGGCAGCCAGTGCCTGCCAGTGTTCCCTCTAAGCTGAGTTACAAGTGCACTGATTTCCAATGCCCAGTGCACCAATTTCCCTCTCAGTGCAGGGGTAGAGGGTCCCCCCCCCTCACCTGCACTAACTATAAAGCGGCTGCCCATCTTCCAGCAGAGTGGAGCAACTTCGGAGCTGCCACCGCTGCCAAAACCCAACCCGCCTTCCCACTGACCCTGCTGCATCCAGCCATCCTTAAGGTCCAGGAGGGGGAGGTAGCAGAGCCAGGATCAGAATGCACATCTGTGCCAGTTGGTGGGAGGGATGAAGGTTGGGGAGGAAAGGTGGGCAAGAATGGAGGCGGAGGATGTCAGGGAGCCTTGGGCTAGCAATGTGACCAACCGGTGCTCCTCTGTGGCTTCCCATTGCCAGAGCCGTCAGTAGCAAGTGGGTCGCTTTCTCCTGTAGTTTAAACTGGGCTGCAGGAGAAAGTGAACCCCAGGAGCTTCTGTGTTGCACGAAGCACATTGTTCCAGTAGCACAGAAGATCCTGGTGCTCGCTTTTTCCTGCAGTCAGTGCGGAGGGGGGAGTCTCCCTCTCTTTCAGTCTTTTTCTCTTTTTGTCTTTTCTTTCTCTTTCTGTTGAGGTGCGTGAGAACTGGAAGCAAGGAGACGCTGGGGAGCTGCTTCCTCCCCACTCCAGGCTGCTTTCTTTCTTTCTTTCTTTCTTTCTTTCTTTCTTTCTTTCTTTCTTTCTTTCTTTCTTTCTTTCTTTCTTTCTTTCTTTCTTCTCTCTCTCTCTCTCTCTCTCTCCTTCCTTCCTTCCTTCCTTCCTTCCTTCCTTCCTTCCTTCCTTCCTTCCTTCCTTCCTTCCTTCCTTCCTTCCTTCCT